AACCCTATAGCTCTGTTTTCATTCCTTTTTTACGCGTTTCGTGCAGCAACAGTTGAACAAAAAGTATATTGTCGAAATTCTGTCTGTTTTGTGTATGTGTATTTCGAGTGCACTTTTGCTCGGAAATTTCAGCTCGGGGACCAGAAGGGCTAGGAAGCTGAAATTTTAAGAGATGGGAGCCTTGCCCGCGGTGATTTCGCAGTCTCAAATTTTGCTTCCTCGTGCCTGCACTCCGCGCATGGCTGGGCAAAGCACTGACGCCTAAATTAGTAATTTGGGGAGCACAGAAGGTAGGAAGTTGGAATTTTAGGAGGGTGTTCTTTGCTCGCATGATGCCAGTAAATTAATAACTCGAGAACCTGAAAGCTAGAAGGCTGAAATTCCAGAATAATGCTCCCACTCAAGTATAAATTCCAACTTGCGCACGCCTAAATATCAGATGTGAACACGAAAAAGTTATGGTGCAAAATTAATAACTCAGGAACAGCAAAAGCCAGGAGCCTGAAATTTTAGGCGAACGTTTCCTGACCGCATACAACCTCCTAGCACGTTTGAAATCAGCTCTCACGGTGCCTTAGTCTCATGTGCGAGCATGCGAATGTTTCGGCGTGAAAAATACTTCCTCGAAGTTTGAACAGGCTGACAAGCCAAATTTTTTGGAAGGATGTTGCAAATCCTCGCAAACTCAAATTCACTTCCTCCGCATGCTTCAATCTCACACAAGGACAAGCGGAGTATTTGATGACAAAATTAACTCAAAAACCGTGGAAGCCAGGAAGCTTAGACTTCAGCGTGCTCCAACCCTCTTATACATTCAGTTCCTCCGCGCGCCTAGCTCTCAGATATGAATATGCGAAAGTTTCGGCATCGAAATTAACAACTCGGGAACGCTGAAATTTTATGATAGTGCTCCCTGCCGGGAATAAATTCATTCCCGATGCATGTCAAAGCTGCACTTACCAATAAGCAAAATTTTTTACTTAAAAGTTAATAAATTGGGAGCCACAAAAATTGCTGTACATATCAAACCGTTTTCTTGGAATGAGTTGCACAAGCGTTAGCTGGGCGGGGTTGCAAAATATGCAAGAATGCATCAGCTTTTTGATACGCACCGCTCTTTATTGAACAGTTCAACTACAATTTTATATAGAGACCGGAAGCTGTTAGCTTTTAAGCCATGTCAAGCGCATAACGAGTCATTACTCAAAGTACGTCCAACAGCTGTTGCATTCCGCGAAAATTTTGAACAAAGTCAACATTTACGAGGTGAGCAGTTTCAAAATATTCTGGTTAAATAAAGCATGATCTGGAACACCGACTTGCCGCAGTGGAGGTATTCTATGACATTCAAAGGGCGTGTTTTCATATTTTTTCCAGGTACCGCTTGCATTTTATCGTTTTTATGCGTTTTTTGCAGCAATGCAATGCGAAAAACGCATATTGACGAGAGGTTGTCTGTGTTCGTGTGTCTGTGTGCCTGTGTGTGCGTCTGTCACGCACTTTCATCTCCGGACCTATAAAAGCTGCGATGTGTCTGTGTGTGCGCTGGGCCTCTGTATCGGTTTTTCATCTCGAGACCGGCAAAAGCTACGGAGCTGAAACTTTGGGGACTTGTGCGTGTGTGTGTGCGCTGCGCGTCTGTACCGATTTTTATGCGTTTTGTGCTGTGTAACAGCCGCGTTTTTTGCAGCTATGCAATGCAGAAAACGCATATTGACGAGAGGTTGTCTGTGTGTGTGTGTGTGCGTGCTGTATGTGTGTGTGTTTGTGTGTGTGTCTGTGTGTGCGCAGCGCGTCTGTACCGATTTTTCATCTATCTATGTGTGCGCTGGGCCTCTGTACCGATTTTTCATCTCGAGACCGGCAAAAGCTACGGGGCTGAAACTTGGGGCATAATCTACACACACGTATGGGCCCCCATCCCCAAAATTGACGCCAAAACCAGCGTGGTACCCGCGTACTGGCCCCCCAAAGTTTTTTTGGGATCAGTTCATAACTCGAGGATCTGAGAAGCTAGAAGGCTGAAATCTGTCCCAAAGTTTTTTCGGGGTCAGCTCATAACTCGAGGATCTGAGAAGCTAGAAGGCTGAAATCTTGGAGTAATGTTCCCGCCCAAGTGGCTATTAGTGGGCTCAAACCCAGCCCCCGGGTAAGCGTGGTACCCCCGCACGAGCCCCCTTAATGTTCCCCGCCCAAGCGGGTATTAGTGGGCTCAAACCCAGCCCCCGGGTAAGCATGGTACCCCCCAAGCGGGTATTAGTGGGCTCAAACCCAGCCCCCGGGTAAGCGTGGTACCCACCTACGGGCCCGCCAAAATTTTTTACTAGTGACCAGGAGGCTGAAATCTTGGGGGAATGTTCCTCGCCCAAGCGGCTATTAGTGGGCTCAAATCCAGCCCACGGGTAGGCGTGGTACCCGCGTACGGACCCCCCAAAATTTTTCCCGCGCAAATTCATGACTCGGGGTTCTGAGATGCTAGAAAGCTGGTAAAGCGTTGTACCCCCCTACGAGCCCGCCAAAATTTTTTTCGGGTAAGTTCATAACTCGGGGATCTGAGAAGTCATGGTATCCCCCTACGAGCCCGCCAAAATTTTTTTCGGGTAAGTTCATAACTCGGAGATCTGAGAAGCTAGAGGGCTG